ATATGAAAGTTCATGCAGCATTCCACACCTTTATCTACCACCAAAAAAAAATCCATTTTGAAAGTATTTTAAATTACCAAAAATCTATTTCTGATTCCTCCCCATTAAAAAGAAAATAAAAACAAATTCCTTGCAATTAACAGGTATAGTCAAGTAAAACAAATTCCCTCATTGGCTTTATGTGTATGCATATGAGTATATATATGTGTATAGTCAGCGTGTGTATAAACACACATATATCTACATATATATATATATATATATATATATATATATATATATATGTACATGTTTGTGCACACTGTTTATATTTCATTCTGCACCCAAAATTCATCACTTCTTTTCAGGAAGTTGAATTTATGTCTTGTCATTAGTCCTCCAGAATGATAAATGGTCATTTCATTGATGGAGTTCTTAAAGTTTTTCCCAGGGACCGGTTTTCCTTCTTATTCCAGTTGTATTCAGTTGTATGACTTTATTCATGCAAAAGCTTTTCAATTTCATGTAATCGAAATGATCTATCTTATCTTTTATAGTCATTTCATTCTCCTGTTTGGTTATAAAAATATTCACTTAGCTATATCCATGAAAAGTACATGGTGTGTTGTTAGGTTTTTTGCTTGTTTGTTTGTTTATTTTTTTGGTGAGGGCAATAGGGATTAAGTGACTTGCCCAGAGTCACACAGCTAGTGAATGTTATGTGTCTGAGGCTATATTTGATCTCAGGTCCTCCTGACTCCAGGGCCAGTGCACCATCTAGCTGCCCCCTTTTTTTTTTTAATAGCATACCCTTATATATACACTTAGGTCACTTATATGGTTGTATCTTTATTTTATTGACTTTCTAACTGTTCTTCCTGCCCCTAATACCTCCCAAGTTGAATTGTCCTAAGTATCCCTCTCAGATTAATCTTTGCTAAATAAAACAGTACAGTGTCATTTTATTGTTTTTTAAGACATGGATTTGGAATCAGAAATCCAAGGTTATCATCCTAGCTGTAATACTGCATATTGTGACTGTGGGAAAGTTACTAGACTTCTTTGAGATATCCTTAGTTTGCTTCTCTGTAAAATTAAGGTTTTGTATTAAATGATATCTAGTGTCCCAGCTCTAAATTCTAAGATTCTATTACCATTTTTTCTGTATTTTATATTGCTGCTCAAAAACTTTCAATTGATCCTCATTGCTTATAGGATAAAATTTTCACATGCAAGATCCTTCAAGTTCTTACACAACTTATATTTCCTAAATTATGTGTAGAACAGTTGGTGGGGCAATGGTTAGAGTTCTAGACCTGGAGATAAAAAGAATTGAGTTCACCTATGGCCCTGAATACTAAGTGTGTGACCTTGGGCAATTCACTTAACTTTTGTCCATCTCAGTGTCCTCAAGTGTAAAATAGAGATAATAACAACGGGGCTGTCATGACGATGAAAGGAGATATTTGTAAAATCATGTAATGCAGTGCCTGGCAAATAGTAGGTGATGTATAAATACTTATTCCCTTCTTCTATTAAATAAAATATCTCTCCCAACAATCTCTCTGCTTCTTGTTCCCAAGTACTCCTTGAATTTGAATAGGCGATATAAATTGTTTCTATTTTATGTTTTGTTTTGCTCTTGTCCAAGTCCTAACATACCTTTCAGGTACAGCTTGTTTCACCTTCTTTGTGTTACACAACATTATCAGTCCTAAGTCATGACTGCCTCTTTCGACTCCTAGAGCAGTTAAGATTTATATCACTAATTTTGTGTAGAGTCTATACATAATACTATGCTTTCTTATCTTCTTCACTAAAATATAATGTGCTCAAAGACGGGAACCAGGTCTTCTGCCACCTGGTATCTTATATGCCAGTCTCACAGACAGTCAATAAATGTTAATGACAGCAAAGAAAAGAAATAGAGAGTGATGGCCTCTCTTATTTCGAGCGAGGCAATCACCAAGTTTAAGGTTACAGATTTGGAGCTTTGCTATGTAGTGATAAAGTATAGAATGTGCCTACACTGGTTAGGTGGGTGAAGATTTTTATGTGAGATGAAGATCTACACTATGCATCAATTGAATGCTTACAGGAAACAGTAGAATTTAAGTGTTGGTCTTGGTAGCGATGGGATCTAGATTTCTAGGTAGCTCCAAGGAGTGTCAGAGTGGAGCAATGTTATCTGCTTCACAGGATCTTTTATATTTCCTCCATTTGACAATGGAATATGGGTATCCCCTGTTCTCAACTGCCAGAATGGAAGCACCTTAGTGGACAGAGATTTTCATTTCTGTCTTTGTGTCCTTAAGACCTATCATAGTACCTTGAACTTAGTAGGCAATTAATAAATTCTTCTTGTTGATTTTTTTAATGTAGGGGTCATTATATCATATTATATTATAGCTCATATTCATAAGCATTTATGAAATATCAACTAAGTGCAAAGTATTATATGGAGCACTGTGATTCATGCATTTACTATTCCCTTGTTACATGCCAAATACTTGGAGAGACATTAAGGATAATAAAGAAAACGTGTTAAATCATTTCTTCCCTTACAATGCTTGCATTCTACATATGGCATATCATCAGATAACTATCCAAGTATAAGGATAGGGACTGGGCATATGTCATGGGCACAGAAAACTCCCAGGTTAAGAGCTCTCTGTACCAATGCAAGTTGGTACCTTCTCTGTATCTTGTAATGAAGAGTTGCCTAGAGCTCAGAGAGATCACACAACTAATAATGTCATAGACAGTACTTGAACTCGGGTTTTCCTGTCTCAGAGTCTATCAACTACATATCACTACTACTCAAATGTGAGGAATATACAGCATGAATAAAAGGTAATCTTAGGAAGGAGAGAATGCTAATGACTGGGAGTATCATTATATCAATCAATAAACATTTATCAAGTGTGTACTATATGCCAGGCACTGTTAATCTCCCATAAGCACATATATTTGAAATAGGTCTTGTAGAAACCTAGAAGTTCTAAGAGGTAAAGATGTGGAACTATATTAATATACCAAATTTTAAGGAATCTCAAATGAAGGTTTTATTTAAAATAAAACTATTAATTATCTTTAAGCTATTGCCATTACAAATAATGTATCAAGTCCCTGGGGTTATCATACTGAGCCAATGCTACCCATAACAAGCCATGGCACAATGGAAATGATTGAAGGAAATAATTTTTTCTCTTTACCTAGAGATGAGGAGACTTAGGGTATTATGTGATGTCTGTATTCAAACATGTAAAAGTCTGACAGGTGGAATAGGGAATAGATTGAGTATGTGAGAGCTAAAAGAGTTTTTAGAAATGATCTAGTCCTTGACTTCAAGGGAAAGAATTAGAACAATCTAGTGTAAGTTAGAGGTAAGCTGATTTTAATCTAGTCCAATGTAAAACTATCTCACAGAGCTATCTGAAAATGAAATAGTATGTTTCATAAAGTGGTGAGCTCTCCATTATTGGTGGTATCCAACCAGACACTGCATAACTAGTTGTCAGTGAGGATTAATTCATCGTCAGTGAAGTGAACTATATTTTTTTCCAGATCTAGGATCCTCTAATTTAATTCATATAAGAATGTTTGACCTAGGAGTTTATAAACCATAAGAAGCAACTTTGATGTAAAGCAATATTTCATTGCTTTGAATATGCAATCCTCATTTAATGCTGAGGAATCTTGTTAGAAGGTTTCTATCTTTATTTACATGGGAGAAAATCTCAGTTTTCTTATGGAAGAGTAATGAAAGGGGTGTGTTTTTAAAAGTGAAATTATAAATCAATGATGACTAAATCTTAATAGCTGCCTTCTCCATTAGAGATTCTTAATCATGAAATTAAAATGGACTCTTGTGCCCAGGGTCTAAAAGAAATTAAAATGAGCCTAAAATGAATCAAGTCATGGATTTTTCTTATGGCACTAATAAGTTTCAAGTCCCCCAGCATAGAATGCTTGCCTGCTTTTAAAGGTGTAGCTCCACAAGGCAGAGGACAATTTCATCTTTTCTTTTTTTTTTTTAATGTCTTCAGAGACTAGATGTGAATAAAGACAGAATTATTGTTTTAACATCCTAGGCACACTATAAATTATTTTGTATTGGCCCTAATCTCTTTTGTCTAAGTAAAACATATCTAGATCACACCTGGGCATTCTAAACCTGTTTATCCTCATCATTTTCTTCTATTTTGGGAATTTCCTATGCATCTTTCTTATATTTGCAGTCATTTCAGGGTTAGGCTTGTATATCATGTCTATTTTTAATGTAGCCCTGTTGAAGAAAAAAAAAGTATCCAAACGAAATAAATATTATGCTCTGCTTATTGTAAAACATCATGACCATAAGATAAAAAAAGTGAAATATTCATGAAAATTCTCATTTCCCCCAGGTCTGGCCAGTGTAGGAAGCTGAGAAAAATAACTCACCAAACAAGGGAACTATATCACAACACAGATTATCACAGAACTTAAAAACAAAGGCAGTTGACATTAATAATTAATTGAGGAAAGCTCCCTGTGGAGGTTGAGATGAGCTATAGGCACAATGTGTAAAAGTGCTTGACTAACTGATCATTAGTTATGTTCTATATCAGAGAAACAGATATTAATGTATCTAGCTAATCCATCCTAGTTTTTCTAACCCTATCATTTGTCTAATGTATTAAGTGTGGCTCTCCCAATTCCCCATGAGGAAGGATCATTCCAAATTAGAACCTGATGCTTTTTTTATTGTCTTCTTGGGAGTGATCTGAATAAATGAGATATGAAAAAAAAACTTGTTTTGATATTTTCTTTGTAATTTTGGTATTATGCATTTAAAGCATGGAAATGGAAACCATACTAATTGTTGCAATATTTAAACTAATGATCAGTCTTACCTCAAGCACTCTAAGGTTTTATATTTTTTGCAAGCCCTTTGAATATTAGCTGTGTTGTGTTTTGTTTTGTTTTGTTTTTGGTGAGTTGTTTCTTTTATTTCTGAAACCTGTCTTCTGTCTCAATAGGCTGTACTTTAATGAAGAAAGGTCAAAGCTGCTAACAGTTACACAAACTGGGACTCAGGAAGATCCTAGTGACCAAGGATGGGGTCGTCATGGAAACTAATTCTGTTTCTGTCAGTCGCGGGGTGTCTTTCAGGTAAAAGTCTTGTCATGTTTTGTGACTTTATAAGTACAAAGTTGCAATGAAATATTAAATGTCCTACAGAAGATACATCTTTAAGTGATCATCTAAATTCCTATTTCTAAGCACACACACATGTGCACATGCACACACACACACATTCACGTGTGTACATGGAAATTATAAAACTCCAGCGTTTGTAGAGCCAACTTTATACAAAATTAAATAATACAAGGTCCTCAGGAAACAGAATGCTATAGCAATGTTAATAAAATGGGTACACACCTCATTGACTTTCATTTACAATCTGAACCATTGTTAGCTTTCATAAGACTCAATAATATGCTTATTTATCATTTGTAACACCTAATTACAAAATTGTCTCATTACGATAGTAAATTCTACCACTTTGAACAAAGTGCTACTTTGACTCAACTCAATCTGTAGGGGGACTAGCATTTCGTTGTCTCATTTTTATTAGTATCAAAATGAATATTTTTGGTTTTCCGAGTTTCTCTTTTTTTCTGTTAGGTCAATCTTAATGTTTTAAATCTTGGCTCTGCAATGAGTTACTTTATCCTCTGGAGACATTTTATGTTGTTATGAAGTAATTTTTATAGTCTGATATCATAATATTGAGAATTATTTCCTCAGTTCCTTTTGTCTTTGTTTTAAATTTAGTGTCTAGAAATCAAACCTTGGTGATTATTTTTATTCTTGAAACATAATATTTATGGTTTAATTAGTTATAATGCAGTGGGTCTATTGTGAGTATTATTTAAGATGTAAACTTGTTAAAATACTTGGGCCTCTAAAATACGGTGTGAGCTATGGATAGCATTGAATGTTTGTTTTTTAAAAAGGATGCTTTAAAATTTCAATTAGAATATTTATTGGTTAAAAGTCGTATTGGGATATGCATATTGGCATAATATTTCTATGAAATTCTTAAACATGCATAAAAACATATACATAGGATACACACTATTCCTTTTCCTTTCTTTTTTCCCTCCCTTTTCTCCTCTTTCTCCCACTTTCTAACTCTCTCCATATATAGATACAGCTATTTCAGAGATAGAGTTATAGATATATAAAACTACAATGTCTGTGTGAATGTGTGTATGTATGTATATGTATGTATACGTACATACATATATATACATATATGCATAGAGAGAGAATATAGAGTATGCTTTGCTATTACAATATGTTCTTCTACTTGATTTTTCTAACAAACTCATTTCATAGTCCAGTTATTTAAAAAACAGCACAACGAAGAGCTCTAATTCAGATACAAATCATCTTTATTCCCATAAAATAAAAGTGCGTTTCAATGGAGTAATTTTAAAACAGAGACAACTTTCTATGGGCACATATGATGTAAGCAGCAAGTGGTCTTTAAAATAAAACAAAATTCTATTCTAAAAAAAGATTCTAAGTAATAATGAATATAAATAATTTAAGACAGTTAAATTATACGTATGATTATGGGCGACTTTGACTTATAAAGATGTGACTATTTAAAAGTAGTATTCAGACATATATTGTTGTATAATACAGCCACATCCCTATGGAGTCATTCCTATTTAAAGTTGTACAGGCAATCCCCAACTTGTACTCTAAAAGTGCCGAAGTCAATACTTTCGAATTAGAAACTTATTTCCCCATGTAATTGTTCTTACTGCCCCAAAATACTCCACAGAAGTAGGCATAGTACATAAATGTAGCTAGAATGCTATACAAATATTATGACTTAGAAAAAAAGAGAGAAAATGTTTGTTACCTGCTTCTTTTAAACATAATACGACATTTATGTTGTGCTTTAAAGTTATCAAATATATTATAATTAATTATATTGTTATAAAAAAGAAAATATATTTAAGCATATTAATATCTTTTAAAAGACTCTGAAGGTAGTTGTCCAATATATTTCAATGCTATTCATTTTTTACAAATGGAAAAAAATGATAATGAATAAAAATGACTTCCTTTTTTAATTAATCCTGGCTGCTGGTACCTGGAGATTTTTAAATAGAGAATGATGAGTAGATAGTAACCTAGGTGGAAGTTCTGGTGGACCTATTGGCATTCATAAGACCTTTAGAGGTTGATACATTGGTTACTATTTCTATTTTAACTGGAAAATTCCCTGACTTTATCTCGACACACATGTGGTATTAAAAGTGCTCATTCTGCCTACCCAACATTGGAGTTGTCTGAGAGTTTTGAGGAAAAAGGTACCATGCTTTTGTTCAGATGGCAAGACAGTTCCCTACACCTCCAAATCAGATGTTATTTGTTTTTTATTCTTTCTCTCAGGATTCCACAATATCTTTTATTCTCCCCCAGGTTCTCTCTCTCTCTCACTCTCCTGTCATCTCTTTCTCTTGGTCTTAGAGTACTCATATTTCTTGTGTTAGGGATCATCTTGTCACATCCCATGAATTTTCTCTTCTGCATTTGGTAGGGTGTGGAAACTAACTCACATTCATTCAGAGAACACTGCCTACCTAAGACATTAGTGCTGACTGTGTGCCTTCAGAAGAGCCCTCCAATACCATCCAAAGGATCAACATAGCCCTGAGGACTGATATGATACATAGTGGAATTTCAGCAGTCAACCTTCACCTACTGCTCTATCTCCTAAACATTTAGCCATTGTACCTGGAAATTAAGAACTCCCAACTCACTCTTATCCTTACTCTTGTTCCAGCAAAACCAAGATTGTTTTTCTCTTATAAAAATGGATTATAACATTCTGGGTTAGAAACATGCATCAGAACTTTAAGTACCCTACCAGTCAACTAAACTCTTATATAAGGCAAAGATGAGATACCTGCCAATTGAAAAACAAAATAGCAACTAAACCTGTGATTTCAATGGTGTAGAGGGCATCCCAGGTGAGGAAATTTCCTCTATCAAGGTATGCTAGAACCTTCTTTACAACTTGTGATATTAGTTAATTGCCTAGAGTATTCAAAGTTTAAGTGACTTGTCTGATGTCACATAATACATATGTATCAAAGAAATTAAACACATGTCTTTCTATCTATGAGGTCATGTGTCTGTCTAATACACAAAGCTGCCTCTGGAAGAAAAATGTAGACATATATGCCATGAATCATATGTGGCCTGTCTACAAATTTACAATATCCTTAAATAAAATACCTATCCCAATCAAAGATTCACCTTACCCAGCCACCACTGCTTGTGGTGGTCATATGATAGGTCTTATGATTTTTTTTATAAAATTGGCCAAATACCTTAAAAGATCAAGTTATAAAAATGTTTTTAACATGAGATCAAGTGTGCCAATTGCATCAACTGATGTAAGAATATTTTTCTACAATTTTACTCTAATTTCTTCAATCTATACAAATTATATTTTAAATACAAATAGCTAAAAGCAGATTTTGTAAAATAAATTTTCATGCTACTTTCTCCAGTTTATGCAAATGTAATCTATGTCAACTGATGCAGTTTGGTCTTTCCTTCAATTTTGGTCCTTCATCATATCATTCTACAGTAACAGACTGGATCACATTTGTTGTGCAGAGCATATTTTCTTAGACCATGTTCTATATACAGATGTATCCCACTTAACAGCATTAACTAATTCCATGAAGATATGATGTTATATGAAAAACCTTACTGAAATAGTTCACTTTATAGGGCCAATGCTATATATAGAAAATTCATTTTTGAACAGCTAGAGTTGGGACCATAAATGCTTAAAATGTGGAAAGATGAGAAATGAGGATGGAGATGTTGCTACACTAGAAATTATCCTTCCTTTCTCTCCTTTCCCCTCCCCGCTTCATCATGGAGACAAAGTAATCATTTTCAAATTGGCTGGAATCATTTCTCTGCCAATCAAAAGCATTTCTTTAGGGATAGAATAAGAATTAAGGCATAATCATCAAATGACATTCTTCTGGGTATTTTTACTCATTATTGGAATTTTGTGGGGGTTTTTTGTGTTTACATTTTCTGCAAACTACTGCTTTAACATGGCAGTACATAGCACTATTGTTACCTCTAACAAAATTTGGATATAAAATAAATGCAATTAATTTCAATACATTTTAAGGTTTCCAAAGTGCTATTGAAACATGATTTTCTAAAAGACATTGACGGTAAGAAAGTATAGGGTGTATTCCACGTCACACCTAAAGCAGCTACTGTATGTGGAACGTATAACATGTTATAGGAGAGTATGGATGAGATAAGGTGGCACAAGGTTATGGAGCTTCTTGAATGTCAGCAAAGGGTGTTGAATTTTATTTAATAGGTAATAAGGAACTACCAAAGAGTTTTGAGGAGAGACATTACATAATCCAATCCATACTTAATGAATATTAGGCAAAATTGTAAAGGATGAAATGAAGTGGGTAGACACTGAAAATAGGAAGACCTGTTAGTCTTCTATTCTAGTTATCACAATTATCCATAATGGTGGTTAGCACCTGTGCTTATATGGTTGTAGTAGAAATAAAGAGGAGGGTACAGAGAATGAGGCTATGAAGGTAGGGTGAACAGGATTTTGTAACTGATCGGACAAGAGAGATGAAGGAGAAAAAAAGAAGTCCAAGATAACCTTAAAATTTTGAACATGGGATTTGAGAGCAGTAGTGCCTCTGAAAGAAACACTGAATTCAGAAAAAGGAACCTAGGCAATGAATGAGAATGCCAAGAATGGCCACAGTTAGAGAAAAGAAGATGGCTGATTTCCCAAAGTAACAAGTTAGGCTTTTTCCCAGTTGGGCATGTCAACAGGACAAAATGGGTTGAACCACTGGGTTTGTTTTTTTGTCACTACAAGTGTATGAAATTTGGGCTAGGGAAAACTGATGTGCCAGAGGTTTGGTGGAATTCCTATTATTCTGTGGGACGTCTTTCTGAACCAGCATTGCTGCCCTTGCAAATGAGAAGGTAGAGGGAAGCAACATCTATTTTATTTCATGATTCTATTAAAAACTTTTTAAATATGTGATTTCTTTTAAATTTTATGTTTC